GCAGATCCTGGGGATGTTTTCCAGGCTGTTGTGGGTCCTGGTGGAAGGATATGAGATTTGGGAGTGGGAGGGGATGCAGGAACAGAGGAAATAAAACTGGGGGTGGGGAGAGGAGCAGGAAGGAAGGGGCCTGGCGTAAGGAAGGGGACGTCAGCAGACGTGGGGGTGGGGAGCAGAGGGGAGAGTGCGGAACTGGTGACTGAGCTGGCTCGTGGGAGGCCTGGGTTTCATTCTCTTCTCTGCCACTGACCTGCTGTCACCTCGGGCAAGTCCCTTCCCGTCCCTCCAACTTTGTCTGACTTGTCTAGTTAGGGTGGGATTTTCCAAAGTCCCTGAGTCACTTGGAGCATGTGGATCAATGTGACCTGTTCTGAGGAGCCTGGGAGCTCCTGGAAATCTGACTTTGGACCAGAAGGGACTGTCTGTCGCTGTCTGTGGAGTCGTCTCACCACAAGGGGCCCATGAGCAGGGAGAGAGCAGGACTTGGTGTGAATGGATCAGGGCTGCGGGGTGGGGGGATGCTGAAGAGGGGATGAGCTGTGGGGATGAGCCAGAGAACCCCAGCTGACATCTCTGGCAGGGACCCAGTGCGGGGCTTCAGGGGTAGCTGTTCCTACAGCCCGACTGGGGACCAGGCTGCCTGGAGACGTCTCCAGCCAGCCAACTGTTTCTGAGCTGGGGCCCTGCCGTGGGAGTCTGGTGTCGACAGGGCCGTGGGCCCTCGGATGTCGTGAGGCTTTTAAACGGACTCATTTACAAACAGACTTTCCGATAGAGCCCCTTTAAACAGCCCGTCCCAGATCGTGTCCACAGAACTCCTTCCCTGCTCAGCAAGGGCTCTTGGCTCCTAGTGAGGGGTGATTAGATGAGGGAGAAACTGGCTAGACAGGGCAGACGGTGCCCCAGTTCCACGCCCGCTGCTTCCTGATGCCCAGCGCGAGCAGAGCAGATGGGTCGAGAGCTGTCGATCTCTCACCAGTACAGCCCTGTCAGGTGTTCCCTGTGACCCTCCGTGCCCGGCACGGGGGGCCTGGCCCATGGCTGGAGTTCCTAGGCATTACTCCAATGCAAGAATAGCAGGTGCAGGCTTTGCAGACAGCAACGTGGCTGGTTGTGTTAGGTGGTTGATGATCCTTTAAAAACACCCTGGCTAGGGATGTAGCTTGTTTAGGGTCAGCGAAGCCCTTCTGGCCCTGGCGTTGTAATCCATGGGTCAGGCCGTTGGCGTTGCTTGTGATGAGCAGGGAGACGGTGGAGGGAATGGGGTGTTAAAAGGTGTCTGCCCTAAGTCCTCCCCCTCAGTGAATCTCCATGCACTCCTGGCTAGCGCTGCACTTCCGGTGGGTGCGGGGACCAGAGCTTGTCAGCCTCCGGTGGCCGGGAAGGAAGGAAGTGGCTGTAGAGTCAGATGGTGATGCTGTGCAATGCTCTGTCTAAGGTGCTGAAAACGTCTCGGTGTAGGCTCATAATCACTGACTAACAGGATTAGTACAGTCTGTAGCGCCCCTTGGACTCTTCTACTCCGGTTGCACAGCTGTCTGGTGAACGGGGCACACCCCACACAGTGAGGCACCAACGTGTTACATGGTGTCATGTGACACAAAGGGGACCCAACAGACATCATGTCGCTTAGGTGCGTGGGCAGCACTCCGTGCAGGGAGAAATCCCGGAGAACTGCACCGATCCGCCCCTGGCGGTGCCTTAGCCAGCTGCCCAGATACCTCGCACGGCAAACGGCTTCAGTGCGCCTTGTACCAGCTCCTGCGAATGTGTATGTTTGGCTGACAACGTCTCAGCAGGAAGTCCTGGCTAGTGGTGTAGATCCCAGAAGTAAGGGCCAGCCCGAGGCAGGGGGAGGGGCACCGAGATCTCCGGCGAGGTGGGCAGAAAAGGTTTTGTAAAATTATGGTTTTGTTTGAACGTTATAAAAGGCATTTTCTTGGGGTTTTGGTTGACTGTTACCACAGCCCTGCCAGGTTCTCCCATGTGCTGAGCTGTACTGCCTGTCACACACTGTCATCAGGCCAGCAGCGCTGAGCTTGCTGGGTAATTATTCCTTGATAGTAATCAGGAGTTTTCTTTAAATAAGAACAATAATTTCTCCTTTGTGGGGACAAGAGGATCCCAGCAGGAACGGCGGGAGCATGGCCTCCTGCCCCCCCATTCCGGCACCCCTGGATCCCAGCATCTCTCCTTACTCTGCAGATGTCCCCTAAGGGACCTTTCAGGTGGTGAGAGGCAGATCACTCGCTGCCCCAGTGCAGACTTGTAGCAAGACTGGTGGCATGTGAACTCCCCTCCCCCACTGCCTCCCTGCCCACCCCACCGCACTCTCCAGAGGCCATTTGCTTCTTGCTTATCTGCTGATTTCACGATACAGACACTTGCCCCAAAGAAGCTGGACTGAGACCCCAATTCACGGAGATTGGTCCGCTGGTCAGCTTAGACGTGACAACGGAGTTCCCTCTCCCCTGAGCTGGGCTTGATGTTCTCAGTGCTCTGACCGAAATGGCCATGTGTAGGGAGCTGTGCCGGCGCAGTAGGGATGCCCCATCCTACCCGGCGTCCAGACTGTGACTCTGCTGGGACTGACGTGCCAAAGGCTGAGGGTGCCGTCTCCAGGGCAGGTGGCAGGCATTGCGTGCTCTCAAAGCGGCTGTGCCATGAGCCGGAGACTGGAAGCGCCTGGAACGGTCGAGAGCTTTCCCCATGAATCCTATCAGGAAAGTGAATAAAATGCTCCTGTCTGAGCATGTCCCACCCAGCCAGCTTGCTAGGCTCTCCCTGGGAACTAGGGCAGTGTGGTTCTCTACTGCCATGGAGCGAACGGGGCAAGAGGGCTGAGCAGGCTGTGAACCTTGAGGGGCCACTCACTTGGCCTAGCCCAGTGTATTGGGCCCATAAGAGGCAGCTGGGGGAGCCTGTGTTCCAGCCTGGCTGAGCTAAGGTGTTGGATGAGTGCGACGCAGTGAGAGCTGGAGCTGTCGAATGAAGTGCTCATCTGCGAGCTGCTTGTGCGTGCGACTTCTCTGCCCCTCTCTTGGAACGCCCCCGCGGGTTTGTCCTGGCTGTGGGCTTGCCCTGAGCTCAGCAGATGATGGGTGTGACGATTGCCGTGCTAAGAAAGACGTCCTGGTGTAAAGGGTTTGAGGCTCACGCTCTGCTCTCAAAAGGGCAGGAAGCTGTAGGGCAGCCAGCCCAGTGACAGTACTTGGGACACTGAGTCCCTGGGGTGACTCCTCCGGGCACACCTGTGCTGTGGTGCGGTTTCCCATGCTGGGTGCAAGACAGGGCTTAATATAGATCCAGAGCCACCAGCTGTAGACAGCTTACTTCCACCCAAGGACTTATCAATACTGGTCTGCTCTTCCAGTCCCTTCCCAGGATCCCTGTGCACTGGCCCCGCCTGCCTTGGGGCTCCCCTTCTGCCCCCCTCCCCAAGCTGGAAAAGCTCCTTTCCCTGTCTCTGAGTATGGGCTGCAGCCTGTTCTCCCGGAAGGGATCAGGAGAACTTGGCTTCAGTGAGACGATAGGTCAGAAAGCGAAACTAACGATAAAAGGAACAAAGAGCTCCCCAGGATTCCAGCGTGCAGAGAGGCCACCGGGAAATGGTGCAGAACCCTGGGAACGCGAGCCCCTCTCTCAGGCGTTTAGTGTTCTTGGCGCTGCCTGGGTAGACTCCTGGAGTCCCAGCCCCCTGTGATGGGATCCCCTGGGATACAGCCTGGAACTGGGGTACCGCTGTGCCCCCTTAACTCTCCAGCCTGGGCTGTCTCTCACAATGCTTTGCTAGTGACAAGCAGCAAACCCCTCCAGGTGCTGTTATCACTCGGTACAACAGCATGTGGAGCCCCACACTCAGCTGGATTGCATGAATGCTCCCAGAGCCACTCATGAATCACACAGAGAAAGGCACCAGCCAAATCTCCCCAGCCTTACACCCCAGAGCTGTACTACCGTCTTGCCCTGGTCAGAAGCCTGACAAGTGTAAGTTTATTACTCAGTCCGCCCCTCCCTCAATGTGGAGAGGACATGCACCAGCCTTTGTAAACTGAGCTGAGATTGCCCAAGCTCTTCAACCAAAACACACTGTTTTAGGTATAATATAAAATAGATTTAAGTGATTATAAGTGGTAGGCATGAAAGGTCAGAGATAGTTACCAAAGAAAATAAAAGGTAAGCACACAGTCTAAATTGTAAACCTTATTACACTAGGCAGTATTTGGATCAAGCAGTTTTCTCACCCGACTGGATGTTACAGTTCTTAATTCACAGGCTTCTCCCTTAAGCCTGGGACCAGTCCCCTCAGCTGAAGTCTTTGTCTTCCCAGCATTCTTGTTGCTTCCAGCATAGGTGGGGGAGGAGAAAGGCCATGGCATGATGCCACTGTCCCTTATTTTATACCCTCAGTCCATGTGCCTGGAAAATACTAGCCCAGACATGTGCTGGTGGGCTATCCCCCTGGCTTGGTCTTCTGCAACTGAGTCAGAGTTGAGCAGTTCCCATTGTTTGATGCTTATGCAACTGTCATTGAATTGTAAATCCCTTGATTACGACTCCCCTGATGATTATTTGTCATCGAACACCCTCCTGGGAGTGGTTCATCTCCTTTGTACGGCACTAGCAAATTACAACATATTTCAGTAACAACCACACAGCAAAATCTCATAACTTGATACACACTGACAGTATACATATTTGGACAGAACAATGGGTTTCAGCCGATCCTGACTTTTCATAAGATATCTTACATGGTGTGCTTTGTATGAAATGTACCTAATTGTATGACAAGGTGAATATGGGTGTTCCAGGGGGCTGCTTTGAGGTACAGAGTGCCACATCCCCTACTCCAGCCGTGCGGCCGCACAGCCCTGTGAGTTCAGGGTTGCTGTGGGCCATTGTCTCCATTCCCAGCGGCGTGGCTGTTAATCCCCTTGGGAGCTCTGCACTTCCCAGCTGGAGCCCTCGCCCTGATCTCTGCTCTCTCTTCTGCCTCTCAGGCTCCCGCCCTCGGCTCGAAGACTTTTCTCCAAGGATAGTCGAGCACCCCTCCGACCTCATCGTTTCCAAGGGGGAGCCGGCAACGCTGAACTGCAAGGCGGAGGGGCGCCCCACCCCGATAATCGAATGGTACAAGGATGGGGAGCGGGTGGAGACGGACAAGGAGGACCCGCGATCCCATCGCATGCTGCTGCCTAGTGGCTCCCTCTTCTTCCTGCGCATCGTCCATGGCAGGAGAAGCAAGCCAGACGAGGGCGTGTACGTGTGCGTGGCCAGGAACTACCTGGGCGAGGCCGTGAGCCGGAACGCGTCGCTGGAGGTGGCCAGTGAGTGGGGTTCTGGGCACACTCCCAGGGGGTTAACACATGTGACACTTTGCTGTGTCTGCGCCGTGCAGAGGGCCTAGGCTGTGGGAAGTCGTGTTATGGGCTCCAGGGCAGAATTTGGCCCGATGACTTTCCCGGCTGTGTTAGAGCCACATGAACACCCCGCTGGGGCTGGCTCCTCCATGCTCTGCTAAGAGGCTCCGTTTCCACAGGGCTAGTGGCAGCGCAGCCCAGCCTGGCCAGGGCTCTGCTGTGCGCTCGTGCCAGCCGCCTTGCTGGATAAGTGCGTTCCTGCCGAGAGGGGAGGTGGTGCCTTCCTACACATGCTGCTGGCTGGTATGGTGGGTCGGTGTCGCCCTGTTGGCCGTGGTTATTATAGGCACTGGGCAATGGGGATGTTTGAATGTATGACAGTGTCCTGTCCTTTCCTGCTAGCACTCAGCACCTTGCCCTAGTTCTCTGACGCGACTCTGTGAAGAGTTAACACCGCAAGGCCATTTACACCGCGCTCTTGGCTTTGTGCCCGCGCAGGTCTGCGGAGACCGTGCTGTGTCTGTCTGGGCTGGAGACTTTCTCAGCATTAAGCGACCCTGTTTTCCCAGCCAAGCCCCGCAGTCCGAGGACGTTGCCAAGTTGCTGGGCACCCCCGGCAAGCCCATAGCAGCACCCTCTGCAGGCCTCAGCCCCTTCAGGAGACGTTCGTTTCCCAGCCGGAAGCACCCTGTCCCATAGAGGCCCTGAGCGTTGACCAGCAAAGGGAGACAGGCTGCCTTCAGCCGGACCCCCGGGGAGAGGGGGCCTCCGGGTGTTACCTGCACAATTTAGGGCTCCTACTCCCCTACATTTCTTGTGGGCACTCAGGGAGTAAGGGACCCAACTCTACTCTGTGCTCTCAGGGCTAACACCCATTCCCAGAGGGCTCAGGGCTCTACGGGTCTGTGGGGCTGTTTACCAGCGAAAGAGCCGTACACAGTAATAACCTGTATTTATTAACACTTGATCAACAGACTACACACGCTCAGCATACAATGCTCAGCACTCCTAATAAGGCAGACAAACTTTTCCTGGTGGCCAGTCAGGTTCACGTTGTCTGGGGCTCCAGCTTCTGCACCGTATGGTCAGCAGGGTGTGATGGTGTAGGCAGTTTTGACCTTGGGCTGTGTTCTGAAGTTAGGGTCCAAAGAACTTCCCTTTGGACCCCAGTTTATATAGTTAAAATGTGGGTCCTGCTTAGCCGGACCTTAACCAGTCATTTTACACTGAAGTCCTACAAAATGGTATTTTCCACCCATCCTAGCTCATTATAAAACACTTCTTTAACCAATCACACCCCACCACCTTAGTTGATTCAAATCTTGCAAAATGAGTTATGCCATAGGTGCCAACTTTCCCCTTTCCCCGCCCCTGCCCAGCCCCCATTCCAACCCCTTCCCCAAAGTCCCCGCCCCAACTCCGCCCCCTCCCTGCCCCTATTGGACACCTTCCCCAGATCCCGGCCCCGCCTCTTCCCCAAGCGCGCTGCGTTCCCCCTCCTCCCCCCTCCCTCCCAGCTGCGCGAATCAGCTGTTTCGCGGTGCAAGCGCTGGGAGCTAGGGGGAAAAGCGAGCACGCGGTGCACTCAGGGAAGGAGGCGGAGGTGAGCTGGGCAGGGGGGTGGGGATCTGCCGGTGGGTGCTGAGCACCCACCAATTTTTCCCCGTGGGTGCTCCAGCCCCGGAGCACCCACGGAGTCGTTGCCTATGAGTTATGCAACAGACCGAAACAATAAAAGAATCAGACAGAGACCACACAGATAAACAATAGGAAAGTAGGGACCACAAAGGCCAAACAATAGAAGTAGAGATTTCACAAATACAACTGTTGATAAGTGGTTCCTTGCCAGGCAGAATGCGGTCAAACAAAGTTTTCTTTAAACGTCTTGAGAGCTGTTTCTTTATCCGGTGATGGTGGGTACTCCTAGGACAGGAGCGCCATCCTAACAGCCCGATAATACACTGTTTTGGTGCAATTTAGATGGAATGTGAGGATGTGACTCTCTGCACCTTAGCTCACGGCTGCTGTTTTTACGGCAGAAGAGGGCCTCGGACCTGATGGTGGGTGAGCATCCTGCAGGAACCTGCCTATCTCACATGCACAGCTCCCGCCCTGCCCTGCTCTCTGCCTCTGGAAAGCAGAGCGATGCTTCCCCCCCTTGGCATCCTGAGCGCAGGCTCTTCTCCACTACAGTCCTGGAGCCTCCTCAGTCCTTGTGCCTGCTTGGGACAAAGCTTAACCCCATCCTTGCCCCAACCCCAGTGGGGCCCCTTCGCCACGTCACCCCGTTGCCGAGATCTGCACTGGTGCTAGTTGGAGCCCTCTGTGTTCCATGGTATAGGCTGCAGAATCCATTCCTCGCTGAGGGGCCAGGTTCCATTTTGCATTATAAAAACATCTGTTCCTAGCCTTTGTGACTGTTCACATCCTGTCTGGAATCAAGCGTGAACTGATGCAGTGCTGTCTGCCTGAGTCTGCAGCCAGCCTGAAACAATAGCTTTCAGAGAGCTGGGACTGCCCCATTCATTTCAGTGGGACGTTAACTCTGAAACCTGAAGGGAGTCGTTTCAGTGTCGTTCCGCTCCAGTATTTCTCCTACTGTCTCAAGCTGTCCCACTGACTGCCCTCTCCCCAGCGGCCTGACCCTCCACCGCTCCCTGCCGCTGGCTTCTGCCACGCCTCCGCGTGTTGCGCACACCAGCTCTGCCGCGGGTTACAAACCGAAAGTGGGGGTGGGGGCTGCGTAAAGCAAACGGAACGAGGTATCGAAGCAATAACAGCGGCTGCTAGGCTGACTCATTCGCTTTCCATTCCGTAGCACCCTCCAGTTCAAACTTCAACGAAGCAGGTACGGACTTTCCCGTCCGTGCAGAATCCAGGGGCCTTGCCCTGGGAACTGGAGTAAGCAGGGCTTTGGTGAGCGTGAACTATAAGAGAGGCAATGACAGCTGACAGCACGTCGTCAGTTTCAAGAAGTGAGCTGAATGTCGTTTCAGCGCTGCCCCTGCCCTGAGACCCCCACTCCTCTGGCTTTAACAGTCCCATTGACTGTGTTTATCTCACTCACACACTGGGGTAACTGACAATGGACCATACACCGGGGTGAGGCAGCGCCTGTGTCTCCTGATAGGTCTAGTTGGCTGGTGCTGGCACAGCGACCTGCTTTGTGGGTCCCGCTTGAAGCAGTGTTTTAGGCTGGGCTGGGCGCACTGCACAACTGGAACAGGGTCAGAGATCAAACCGGAGTCTGTCGGTCTCTTGGCTGCTGGTGACCTGGGAGCTGTTGGGGTGGGTTACTGATCTGCTTGCTCTTCCCTCATTGCTCTAATAGCTGCAGATCTGACATGCTGCTCCTAATTGGCACAGGCAGCCTCTGCTCTTTAGCTTTGTTTAGGGGAAGGGTTTATCCTGGTTAGATTCCTTTGTGCTCCTGAGCTGTCAGCCTATGAACAGCCCAGCCCATCAGTCACCCGCTCCTGACATGGGGTCTTTGCACATACCTTCAGGATTAGCCTCCGAGAATTCCCCCGGCACGGTAATGGGCCAGAGCCTTGGGAATATCTCTGTCCCCAGGCACCCAGGTATGCACTCCCCTTTGGCTGGAAGCACCAACGCTACAGAGAGGGACTCATATCTGCGATCAGATTCTTTTCTCTGGCCTATCTGCAGCTGTTCCTTTGTGCTCCTGACTCCGAGGTGAACAAACACTCCTGATTAGTCAGCTTTGTCCACAGCCGTCAATGGCAGACTGCATTCCAGGCAGGCTGGGATGTGTCTTTCCTAGCTTTCGGAGGGCATTCTGTGCTCCCCCAGCCAAAGAAACCCTGGCTGTATTTATCTGCCCTGACCTCCCAACCAGTCTCCTCTGTGCTGTTCCTTGGTGCCCTGACCCCATTGTCTTCCCTAATGGCTCTACAGAGACAAAGATCTGCAAACAAACAGTGCAAACCCCAGCCCGGGGATGGTGGCAGAAGATAAATGACCGTGTTACCTGTGACAAGGCCATGTAAAGTCCCCCGCAGCATAGGAAATGAAATGTCATTTCTGCTAAGCCCTTGAGTCACTGACATTACAGGCTGGGACCCGGCATTAGCAGAGCTCAGAAGCAGACAGGGCTGATACTAACCTAGGTGATTTGTGGCTGGGCTGATAAGTTGCAGTCTAAATAAAGCTATCAAAGGAGTGTGCTGCAGCCAGAGTAATTGTTCAAAATGCAGCCATCAACCAAGGGTGATCTATAAAAGGCTCCCGAGAAGCAAACGCACGGGGTTGAGTTATTCCAAGGCTAGCGAGGACTTGCGTGCAGCAGCTTTGGAGATGCTTGGATTTGCTCCCAGCAGTTAGTTTGTAGAACCCGAATCCTTTGGAATATGGAAGCTTCCAATAAATAAACGAAACGGACACTTAATAAAATGAGGCTGTGATTCCTCCAGCTGCCCGTCGGAGTGGGGCCCACTCCCCAGCCCTGAGCCCTTTAGAGCTTTACAGACCAGCTCGATTCCTGTCTCCTCCCCAGTGCCCCAATATTAGGGAGGGGACCGATAATAAGACAGAAAATATAATGCCACTGTATAAATCCACGGTACGCCCATAGCTTGAATACAGTGTGCCGTTCTCGTCACCCCGTCTCAAAAATGATACATTAGAATTGGAAAAGGTGCAGAGAAGGGCCACAAAAATGATTAAGGGTATGGAACGGCTTCCCTATGAGGAGAGATTAAAAAGACTTCACGCTCTCCCATTCCCCAGCACAAGCCTCTGGATCCATTCCTGTCTTATTGCCACAAGTAGCAGGCACCCTCTGGCCCGAATGCCTACTGGATGTGTTCCATTGGGAGCGCTCTGCTATCTTAGATGGATGGGCGAAATGCAACATGCACCGTAACAACCAGATGGAGATTCCCTCAGCCAAGGCCCGTGGGGGGGGGGGGCGCCCAGGGGCGGCTCTAGCTTTTTTGCCGCCCCAA